AAAATAAAGTGGTTAGCCTGAGGTCCGACCAGTTGCGCGGTTGCGGTTCATTTCATTTCATATTATGGAAGGATGAGATGAGCCAGAGCTGACTCATCTGGATAGGAAGATAGGAAGAACCAGAGAGGGGTAGACGTACTGGATCTTAGGATCGGTCGACATGGTGGGTGGTGGTGGTGGTGGTGGGATGGGTGGGAAAAGGTATAAGTATCAGGGAGTTGGCAGCTTCTCTCGACCGACGGGCTTCTCTCGAACTTCCAACTCTCAGTGTCTCTTTAGGTTAAATTGGGTTAGACTGGGATTGCTCCTGGAGCCCGCTGAGTTCCGCCGCAGCTTCCCAGTTCGGTCAATTTACGTCACGTGAAACGCGTGTTTGCCGTGTTTGTCCGCTAGTGATTCCCGAGGTCGCGATTGGCTGCGTCACGTCGCGTCGGACAGACACGCTTCTAGACGTGAGGGCGGATCGTCCAAGCTTCAAACCACTTCCTCCCTCCACTTCATTCAAATGCAAGGCGTTCTGCTCTTCTTCCCCTGCTTTCCACACACACTTTCACCCTCTCTCTCCTTCTCCCTTTCCAACCTCACTTCCCCTTCAACCTATCTCAGCAGATTAACTAGCTGTTGAGGAGGAAGCAGAGGAGAGAGAAGAAAAAAAAATAAACCAAGGGGTTTCGGTGTCCTGCAAAAACTCTCCTTTTCGAGCTTTTCACCTTCCATCCCATGCCTCGAGATTTAACGGCCTCCCCTCCTTTGACGATTCAGTGTCCCGCGTTAGCATTCCTTCAGGGCCTTCCCCGCGACCTGCCGTGCATACATTCCAGTGCATTCTCCCGGTCGACGCACTCGCCTATCGGACGGTTCTGAGTGGTCAATCCCACACGATCAATCTTCCTTGCTTCCAACTTCGACACCGACCATTGAAGCTCGTTCTCTCGAGTGTCAATTCGTTCAACTCGACCTTCGTTTTTACTAGACTCGGTGCCGCCTACAACAATCTCGTTCTCGCCAACCATTCATTCAGACCAACTCCTGGTTTCTTGTTTCTGCTTATGGTCAATTCGCTAGCACTGGTGGCATGGAATCCCAGGACGGAATTTCCGTCCGGCCTATGAGGCGTAAGTCTATTCCTTCAATTGCTGCCTGACTCCTCACAATCAGGAACTCACCAAAATCACCCTTTCTAGTGAAGGTGCTCTATACGTTTGACGAGTCCAGCAAGACCAATTGCTTGGCCCGGTGGCCCCATCTCCTCGACATCCAGACCGCCGCCCTCGACGAGAAGCTGCAGATCGGTGTCATTGAGCTGAAAACATGCATCCAGGCCATTGTTTCGGCAAGGTGAGTGCTAAGGATGGAGCTGGATTCCTGGTCTTTGTACTCATTTTCATCGTCACAGCCCGGAACTGGTTGCCAAGCTTGGACAGGACTACACCGTGTACGCCTACGATTACTCCGAGTATGAGACGCCTCTGGTCGGACAGGGAATGCTGTCGTGGGTGCTTGCGTCGGCTTCTCCCACCCCCAACGCCCCCGCCCATCAGTCGAAAACAATGGTTACCGGTCGAGTGTGCAAGAACGTTCTGGGTCTATTCTCCAAGGGTGCTCAGGAGACATTGGAGGTGAAATTGCGATTGGTGCCGGTCCCCACCGTCCTGCAGAGCGATTATCTCGAGAGCATGCAGAAGTACCGGGAATTGAGCAACGTCATTCCTCACGAGTTCGACGCCCAGGCTTGGACGAGTTTTGTGCGGCAAAACCCGGGTTTGGTGTCTCCCCGCGAGCAGCAGCCGGACCCCATAGCATCACCGGTGGATCACGCCGGAATTGAGAGGTTCCACCAATTGCTCAGCGAAGGGTCGACGCCAAGGGAGCTACCCTCAATGACTGGAAATGCGTCGATACGCTCGGCTTCCCCCGCGCAATCAGCGCTCGGCCCCGTGAGCAGAATCCCCACCCCCGCGCAGCAACAGGAGCATACACAACAGCTTCAGCACCAGCAAGACCGTCTACACAACGATGCCATCCGGCCAGGCTCCAGCGCTTCGATGCGTGACTCGGATCTCCCCACTCACTCGAGATACGCCCCCAGTCGTCGAGGCTCCATTCAATCAGGCTACGGCAGCGGCGACGAGTCTTCGGAACAACAACCCCGCAAACGGGCCAAACTGTATCGGGCAGAGTGGCCTGGAAAGTCCGACTTGAATATTGAGAGACAACCCAGCTCTCTGCGGGTCGCCGCCAGCACCGCAGCCTCTGTCCGCATTCATCGCCCTACTCCGGTCAACCCCGCTATTGCTGCTGCTCAGAACTCGAATGAGGAGCCTGTTCGCCCGCCCACCCCAATCTCTGACTCGCATGAAATTACTCGTCGCGCACGTCCTCCTCCCAGCTTGCTCCGCGAGTCATCCCTCCACACTCCCTACACCTCTCCGTATCCCATGAGCGATGATCACCCCGCCGGCGATAACCAGTCCCCTGAGTCGCGTTACCAGGGCCTCTTCGAGCCTTCGTTCAGTATGCCATCGTCGCCTCCCGTTCTCGACTGCGGCTTCCCAGGCCGCTCCAGCCCGGTCCTTCCGCCCATGGCCGACTCGGGCTTTATGAGTGGTGGTATGGATGAGCTGCTGGATGAAGAAATCGGCACCCCTCTGGACAATTCAACTGGCGCAGGCAGAGAGAAGCGGATTGTCCGTCCTGCTGTACATGCCAGCTCGCCGATCACTGCGCCCACCAACATGGAGAACTTCCCAGCCAGCGACGCTCCGGACCAAACTGGGAAAGAAAGGACATCCGCTCCAATCCGCGCACCAGCCAGCAACGCCGGCTCGAGGCCATCTTCTCGGGCTAGCATGAGACAGGCTCCCAAACCACTTGCACCTGCACCCATGTCGCAGAGTGAACTCGAGCAGCTGATCAGTGCCATTCCCGCCAGCGATCCAATCCTTCCTTCTCATGTCAACACGCACAGCTCCCAGGCCTGGACCGGACCGATGAGCGACTACAATGGTGCTGAGACCCCGGCCCCGCAGCCTGTACTCGAGGATGGCAAAATCCGCAGCGGCACGGGCGCTCGCCGGTTGCGGCAGGTTCAGGCACGCCTCGATCGGTGCATTCGCGACGGTCAGGTCCCACCTTACTGCGAAAACTGCGGTGCCATCGAAACCCCCACCTGGCGCAGAGCGTGGTCGAAAGAGTTCGAAGGCAACGAAGACGACGCTAATAAACTCACGGAGGATCCCACCATGTTGTTTTGGCAGACTGTTGAACGTGACGATCAAGAGAAGGTCATCAAATTCAAGGTCTACAAGAAGAGCCTAGCCGACACCGACAACGACTTTGTTCAGGTCCTTCTTTGCAACCGTAAGTAATACCTGCTCCACTTCTGCCTCGTCTGTACTAACATCCAGGAAAGCCTGTGGTCTTTGGCTCCACAAATTCAAGTGCATGCGCCCGGAAAATAAGTGGAACAAGACCGCCAGCAACAAGAGAAAGCGTCCCCCAAGAAACCGCAAGGGAGGCGGCCCGCTCTCGACCAACAACAACAACCCTGCAACGAGACACCGTGCCAGGGCCGAGTCCTCCAAAGCGGACGAATCGTCTCCTGGGGCGTCCGATGCCTCTTCTCCCGCGGTGGACGATGCCACTCCCCGTGGTGATAATGACAGCAACGAGGCTGAGAACAATAATGAGCAGGATCGTGACGGAGCCCAGGAGCAGCCCGCCAAGCGGCGCCGTGCCAACAGCCTGGAGCCGCGCAAGTCGAACGACACAGCGGCCAGTCGCTGGCAGGAGCAAGACCCGGTGGCTGCTCTCCGCGACGCCATCCAGTCTAGCCCTGCGAGAAACGTGGTGGGGCGCAATGCTCCGGCGGCGGGCGAGAATGCTCTTACTCCCAAGTCAGTGAGAAGAGTGCTTTTTCCTAACTCCCACAATGAAAGCGGACCGTTGAGAGCATTGGGTGACTCAAGCGTCAACAGCCCACGCCGCAGCCCCCGCAGTTCTCGGGCGGCCGAAAAGCCGGCTGACGACAAAGAGAACCAGACTGCGACTAATCTGGACGCACTCTTTGAGAGCCCGAGTTTCGGATTCGACGTGCCCGTGAGCCCGACCCCTCGGCGACGCAATCAGCGGTCGGGTCTGTTGAGCGAGAAGCGCCTTTCCCTGCCGTGCATCTCACCTTCAGCGAAGGCACGGAGAGGAGTCGCTGCGGATACGTCCCCTACCAGACTCACTGCGCAAAGACTTCAGCGGATCCAGAGCAGCCCTGGCCCCATGCCGCGTCAGCACAAGACCCCGAAGCAGGCTCGATTGACGCTGAGTGACCTTCAGCTGCCTGTCAACACTTTCGGCGGTTTTGAGGGGGTGGACAACATGATCGTTGACATCTTCTCCGACGCGCCTTCGGCCGCAGCCACGGACGCACTGTTCGGAATCGACAAGTGTGCTGCGGGCAACAGCTGGCCTGACTGGATTCCGTCCGATTATGTTTCTCCCACTGGATCTGAGGGCGAGGCGGCCAACGGAGACTCGGGGGCGAGTGGGGACGATCCGCGGGATCTGCTCAACGCGCTCATGGCTGACCCGGAGCTCCAGAAGGCCAACCAGTTTGATATCTTCAATTATGTGGAAACGAACGTGCTCGATTCCGGATTCTTCAGCTCCGACGCCATCAATCCTGAGACAGTGCCGGCACTGGGTGTCAAAGACAAGGCTGCGGAGTCCGGCACTGGGCACGAGGCGCAGCCGAGTGCCACTGATGTGTAATGATTTTCTTTACTTTATTTGACGAGACGCAACATTCGTTCGAATTCCTTTTTGTGATGTGTTTAGCGATGGCGTTCGGTGGATGCATATGATCGAGTGCATTGTTTGGCTTTATTCTGTGGGTTTGTTCCTGAACAGATCCTTGTTTTGTATTTGCTATTCAATGGGAGGGATGGGAGGATTGGGATAGGATAGGATAGGATTAAGATACCACAGTAGATACCAGGTTTCGGCCACAACAATGAAATAATCAATTGAGTCTTCTACTTATCGGCGTGTAGAATTGGATGTGCTTGTCTAGCTTGATTGACTTCTTGGTCTGTACTCCGTAGATCTCACGTCCGACCCGACCAGGCTTACACCTACTCTCTGTCCTTCAAGGTTTCAACCCCGAACAGACAATTAATACCATATTATTTATTGGAACAACAACAACAACATGCACTCTCCCTCCAATCCTCAACCGCAACAGGGGTATATCACTCGACCTCAACCTCAACCTCATCACCACCTCTCCACCTCACTTCACTCATTCGAATCATAGAAAATCGCCTTCAGCTTATGCGTGGCGTTGACCACCTGCTCATAGATCTTGTAATCTACAACCGATCAGCCCACGCCAGCCCTTCGCCCAACACTGCAGAAACCGGGGGCGAGAAACCTACCACAATCCGCCGGATCCCCCAAATCCGTCACGCCGAGCAATCGGATCCCAACGCCCTACACCAGAGAGACAAGTCGTCAGCATCGCCCACGTAAAACCCAGGGTCTTCACCCCAAGGAAAGAAGAAGGGGAAGAAGAACCGCACCCCCTCATTCAAATCCGTCACCTTCCCAATCACCTCGACCAACTTCCCCATCTGCAGATGCGAGTCGGGCTTCAGGATGATCGTGACGTCCCCCGAGCCGCCGCAGGTGAGGGTGGCGGTGTCGCCGCGCAGGGCGGAGACGGTGCCCAGGATGCGGACGGTGTGTTTGCTGGTGGTCGAGGAGGAGGGGTGGAAGGCGTGCAGGTGGGCGGGGAGGACGCGGGGGGTTTGGAGGGACATCTTTTCAGGGTTCGGTGGATGATGGAGTAGATCGGGGGTTGGGGGTGTTGTATTGTATGTGTCCGAGAAGGGGTGGTGTGAGGTGTACTGTACTAGGTAATGTGTTGGACTGGGGCGAGGTTATAGTCACTGGCTGGCTTGATGGAGAGATGGACTTATCGCCGTCGCGCCGCGCGTGACGCGAAGGCACGTGACTTACCACATCTTACTATCCACCGCTCGGAAAGAAAACCTGGTTCGGCTTGGGGTAACTTGTGGCTGCTGCCTCGGTGCCTTACGATGTAAGGCTACGGCCGGCGCTGCACCTGGAAAAGCAGCTTTCCCGGGTAAAGTTAACTTAAGTTACTGGCTGGGCTTGACACTCCACTACTTACCTATACTCCAGCTTCGCATTACAGGGTCCTTTATTTACCAGCGGCTACACCTCCTCCTCCAACCCCAATCAACCGATCAACCACCCACACCACACACCACACACTACACACCACACACCCAGAAGGCCCAAGGCCCAAGGCCCAAGCTGAAGGCAAACAAACATGCCACCCCCCCTCCCCTCCCACCACCGCGGCATGACCGCCAACCCCCAACGACCGAGCCGCTACCGCCCCGGCAAGCCGATCGCCGAAGAGCCTTCGTCCGACGACGAGGACGAGGAAGATGAGGAGGAACAGCAACAAAAAGAGCAGGAAGAGCGCCGTCGTCGCGAGGAGCAGCGCCGGAGGGCGGCGGCGTTGGCTAAACCCCCACCCAAGGCTAGTTCTTTTCCCGCTGGGGCGGCTGGGGTGAAGGGGGTGAGGTTTGAGGAAGCGGAAGCTGAGGAGGATGAAGAGGGGTTTGTTACGGAGGATGAGGAGGAGGAGGATGCAGAAAGGAAAGTGGGGGGCTCTGTTGCTGGCGATGGAGCTGGAGCTGGGGTTTCGAGTGCTACTTCTACTGCTGCTTCTGGTTCTGGTTCTGGTTCTGTTTCGAGAGGGGGTGTGACGAAGGGGGCGCAGGTGGAGGAAGAATCAGAGGAGGAATCGGAATCGGAATCAGAATCCGAAGAGGAAAGTTCGTCAGAAGAAGAAACCCCGCGCCGAGTCCTCCTGCGGCCGACGTTCATCAAAAAGAACCAGCGCACCGCGAACGCCGCCGCCACTCCCGAAACCCAAACCCGACCCGACCATCACGCCGACTCGGCCGCGGACGCGGAGGCCCGCCGCGCCCAGCGGCAGGAGAAAGCGGACGCGCTGGTGCGCGAGCAACTCGAGAAGGAGGCGATCGCGCGCAGCGCCGCGAACCGGGCGTGGGACGACGACGAGCTGGAGGTCGCGGAGGAGGAGGCGATCGACGACACGGACGGCAAGGACCCGGAGGCCGAGTACGCGGCGTGGAAGCTGCGCGAGCTGAGGCGCGTGAAGCGCGAGCGCGAGGCGATCGAGGTCGCCGAGAAGGAGCGCGAGGAGATCGAGCGGCGCCGCGAGCTGACGGCCGAGGAGCGCGAGCGCGAGGACCGCGCCTTCCTGGCCCGCCAGAAGCAGGAGAAGGAGGCCGCGCGCGGCCAGGCCGGCTACCTGCAGCGCTACTTCCACAAGGGCGCCTTCTTCCGCGACGACGTCGAGCGCGAGGGGCTCGACCAGCGCAATGCCATGGGCGCCCGCTTCGTCGACGACGTCGCCCGCGAGACCCTGCCCGAGTACATGCAGATCCGCGATATGACGAAGCTGGGCAAGAAAGGTCGCACCCGGTACAAGGATCTGCGGTCGGAGGATACGGGTCGTTTTGGCGATGGGGTCAGCAGCCGCTTTGGCGGCGGGCAGCGGAGGAGGGAGGATGCGCCGCTCGGGGTTACTGATGAGAGATTCATGCCGGACGAGCGGCCCAGGGGTCCCACAGGCGCCAATGCGTCGGTGGTGCGCGAGAGGCGGCGATCCAGGTCGAGGTCCTACTCTCCCCGCAGAGACCGGTATGGAGACCGGAGGGAGAGGCGACGGAGCCGCGATCGCTCGGCAGACCGCTACAGGCCGGATGGAGGCAGTCGCAGGAAGCGCAGTCCCTCGCCCTACGACGATCGGGAGAAACGGAGACGAACAGAGGATGCGAGATCGGACTAGCCGGAGGTTCGGCTTGCAATGAACATGGTATTTCTAATTTTTATTGGCGTTCTTGGGTATCTGAGAGCACGGATTGGGGGGGAGCTTTGCATGTGGGAAATCGACGTTTCTTTCCCCTCTTGTGTTATATAAGGTTCCTCAGCATGGCGGCATGTATCATACCTCGACGGGATGCACAACCAAGTGAAGGACATTTTGCTGGATGTACACTCGGTGCACCTCGTCATTGCCTCGCCTAAGGAGCATCACGCCGCAACGCCGACGGCCACATCTAGATCAAATCCGCTTCTAGCGTATCACACAGCCCAGCCAGCAATACCAGAGCGTAGACGTGAACCCGATATGCCCCAAACCCCACCACCGCAACAACATCCGCATCCCAGCAAGTAGTTAGTCATAAGCTGCGAGCCATCATCGATCAACCGTACAGGCCCCAGTCACTGGCTGCCCCCTTCCTGCAGAAACCCAAACTATTTCACACCCGCCCGCTCCAAGACCTTCTCCCGCTCCATCACGCTCTCCCCGAACCGCAGCAGGAATATCGTCCGACTGGGCCACATCTCCGTGGGCTGGTTGTGGGCGGTGACCTTGGCCTCGAAGCCGCAGCCGTCGCAGACGCCCTCGATGATGCCGGCGACGAAGGCGGCGCAGTTGAGCATGCTCATCTCCTTGGGCACGCTGATGTAGGTGTTAACCAGCGGGTCGTTGTCGGTGATCATGTACTCGTTGGGGGTGTCGGGGGAGACGGAGTGCTCGAGGGCGTCGGCGGGGCGGGTGAACAGCAGCCGCCACAGGGGCCCGTGGATGAGGTGCAACAGGGGCAGGATGCGGAGCGGCCGGTTGGGCGGCGAGGCCGAGGTGGAGGAGCTGCTCGACAGCGCCGACGAGGAGCTCGACCCGGACACCGTGCGGTAGAAGAGGAGGTCCAGCAGCCGGAGGCCGAGCGGGTAGCCTTGTTCGTTGAGTCTGTCTCCCCGCATCAAATCAGCGTGTGCGTCTGAGGGGGGGTGTTCCTTGCCGTATGTATATATGCATGTACCTGACACCAAGACGGCGGGGACAGGGGAAGTGCGACGCAACTCACCGTCTCTCCAGATCCTGGATCCCCGTGACCCGGCGCTGAGCGTAGGTGACCATCTCGCCGAACAGGAAGGCGAAGCTCGCCCGGCTGAGTTCCGCATTCCGGCTGCGGTTGAGATGGCGGTCGTAGATGGTTTTCCGGTTGGAGGGGACGCGCAGGCCCGTGCTGGATTGCGAGGGCGTCGGCAGGTGTGTGTGGGTTTGGGATTGGAGCGGTCGTTCGGTGCTGGTCGTCGTCGTGGAGGAGAAATTGGAGGTGCTGTTGCTGTTGCTCAGGGAGAGCATGGCGGCGTGGCGCGGGGGTTGTTGGGCCATTGTGATTGTGTCTTTGTGTGGTGTTGTCTGTGGATTGTCCGAGGGGAGGGGACTAAGGTGGCAGGGTGGTTTGTTCGGTTCATGCGGGAAAGGGACTATTATCGACAGGCTGGGGGTCTCTGTCGAGAGGATCGGGTTCAATGTCTCATGCTGGTGGTGTATTGGTCGTTTGGAGGTGTGGGTTTTGGAGGGTGTATGGGTGTGAGTGGTTTGGTGATTGTGCTTGTGCTTGTGCTTGGGTTGGATGGAGTGGCCTTACGGGGAGGTGCAGATGCTCGGGACGCAATTCGGGGGATAGCTTCATCCAGTCGGCTGGCTTCGCAGCTCCGGAGATGGCCTCCAGAGCATATAAACCTCTCATTCCGGGGTCACTGCTTGCTTACTACTGAAGCCCGACGCAGCCACAGCCATTACGAGACAAGAGCCAAACTACAAATTACAATCTACAATCTACAGCAATGAGAACCGATCCAAAAAAAATCTTTCAGATAAATATTCAGAATTTTCATTGATTTCCCTTCTCCGATGAAGGGCACCGTCAGAGACTGCGAAAACTAAACTGGAACCTAAAACTGCAGAGCAAATTAGCATATGCTCGTGAAAATGGCACGTAAGATAATTCAATATCCAAGACGACCAAACAAGTCAGACATCCAAGGAAGTATTGCGCACAGAGCACGTCTATATGATGGGTTCATGGCGACGGCTAGCGTGGAAACTGCGAATGTAGGAAAAGTTTTCATCATAAGAGCCCAGGGGGAAAGGGCCGTTGGTCATGAAGCAGATAGAAAAAAGGAATAGTGGTAGCTTACCATTGCGTTAGTCGCATCATTCATTGACTTGCGCAGCGGAAACAGGTCAAGAATGATGCAGAATCCGAGGAAAATCCGAATACCCTCCAGCTGTTGCATGTTCCAAGTGAAATCACATAAAATTCCCAAGGAATGCAGTGGGTGGTATGGTGTGTGTCACGCTCAACTGGAGGATGTTGAGGATGTTGAAGTGCATGAAGAAGAAAAGATTTTCGGGGCGGGAAGGGGGTTTTTATAGTCAGCCTCACAGCCTTAGGCTGCCCCGGTAACCCTTCCGACCCATACACTAGATAGACGAGAGAAAAAAAACTTCACCGCAGCACTCCACAGCCCAGGAAAAAAAACGTTCGAGTCATTTACCATTATTCATAGAAATTCTACCGACCGGCTTTTTGTTGTCATGAACATGAGATAATGATCTAGGACCGATAGGATTTGTCTATACAATGTCCTTTTCGAGTTTCTTCCATATGTATCGCAGCGAAACGCCCCACAAAAGTAAAATCCCATATGTTGTCGAGTACTCCGTACGTAGTATATAATCTTTGTTCATGCGTTCAGCGCTGGATTTCTGGGTAAAGCCTCACGGCCGCTGCTTATTTACCACCCTTTTCTTCATGGGGTGGGTCCAGCGATTTCTGCCTCTGTCTCGAGTTCCAATTTAATGTCTTCGAGATCGTGTGCACCCAGTCATCACCTCGTCGGCCCTTGGGCAGGACATTGGCAAATGGGTACCGTGATGCCGATACGGTCACGTAGTCTCCTGGATGTAATTCAATCCTATATTCAAAAGTTAGTCGGTGGGCCCAGGAGCCGTCGCACGCGCCTGCAGGACACACACCTTTCTCTGCCATCGAAACTGGCCCACGAACTAGCTCGGGCATCGTACGGCACGCCCATGCGAAGGACGATGGTATCTGGTAGTATAATAGGTCGAAATGATAGTGTGTGCGCGCAGATTGCGGTCACCAGTATGACCGGGTTATCCGGGTGCGATAGAGAGCCCCCAGCTGCGAGGTTGTACGCAGTTGACCCGGTGGGCGTAGCTATACAGACGCCATCGGCAAGGAGGGTGGTGAAGTGCTCGTCGTCGCCAAACAGCTCAATCGAGGACATTGCTAGCCAACAGCCCCGTCAGCAGGTGATCACGGTAGTAGCCATCAGAATCGCATTGGGACATACTCGCATTGGGCCCCCTATCCAGGACAACATCGTTCAATATTTGCAAAACCTTGTCCGGCCTATGGGTCAGCGTATCCTCGGCCTCCTCCCCGATCAACTCTTCCACGAGATCCCGCTTCCTGGCGTTCGCCGGCGAGCCGTCCGGTAGCGGGTTACTGCGCATGATCGTGCATTCGAATCGCAGCCGCAGGTTGACCACGACGCCCTCCTTGAAGGCGGTGGTCAGGGTGTTCTGGTAGTCGTTGAAGTCAAACTTGGTCAGGAAACCCAATGACCCTAGGGAGAAGGACAGCACGGGGGGTACGACGTGCTGGAACAGCCAGCTGGTGAAGAGCACCGTGCCGTCGCCGCCCAGCGTGATGACGAAATCGAACAGGTGCGCGCGCTCCGCGGCCAGGTCGTGGTCCCAGTACTTGAGGCGATGTCTCGCCGAGGGCTCGTCGCGGAGCAGCTGCGCCGCGCCGAACTCCGGGTCCGACTCCAGGCGCTTCTCCACGTAGACGGTGTACGGCGTGTCGCGCTCCTGGGACAGGAGCCAGCGGGCGACCTCCCGCGTCGAGCCGATGACCGACTGGTCGCCGGCCTTGGTCACCAGGAACACGGTCTTGACCGTGAGCCGGAGCTTGACGCTGTCCAGCTTCTTCGACAGCTTGCGCACGTTCCACGCCATGTCCGAGAGCTGCTTCTTGGTCAGGTGGCGCGACTGCATCATGGCCTTCTCGGCCACCGTCATGTCGTTCTCGCTGTCCTCGTCGGCGGCCGCGCCCTCCTCGTTGAACGCCTCGTTGTCCTTGGCCGTGTAGCCCTTGACCTCCTTGATCCGGTTGGTCGGGTCCCCCCATTCGCCCGCGATCAGGGAATGGACGAAGCATGCCGTGGTTTCATCTGGGAACGAGAGGTTGGGGCGGGTGTTGGGGTCGTCCGCCATGACCAGGGACGACTTGCGGCGATGGCTGGACTCGGGGTATAGTACAACCTGGCATTTTTTATCACATGCAGTCAGCTCTATTCGTTCCATTGCTTTATGCTGGTTGAGACGGGAGGAAACAATACCTCCAGCTGATTCGGGTCGTCCATCTCGCCATCTACCCCTCCATCCTGCATTCAAATCAGTTTTCCTGTGGCGTGTCCAGCAATTGAAGAACGTACAGCACCACCTTGCTTCGGACTCAGATCCATCGACGCGGTTCAAAAGGGCTTTTCGTGAGACTCAAACGGCCTGTTGGGGGTTTGAGACTGGAGGGCCTGTCAATATTGGGAATCGACTGATGTCGAAGTCGAGGGTCGCGATCGGAATCGGGGTAGCTGCGGGTTATGACGTCGTTGCACCGTCCCGGCGAACTTGACTACTACGCGACCGAAACATGGTTTATGCTGGGTAGTCGTGGTTATTGTGGTGATGAACTGTAGTCTAGCGCTATGTAGAGTATCTGTGATGAACTCGGGGGAGACATTGATGTTTGTTGGAGTGTCTGGTGTGTTCATGTCAACCCTCTGAGTCCGTGCTGAGCATTTCTCTGGTTGAACGATATATATTTTCTGACACCGGGTATCTCCGCACCGGGTTGGGGTATGTGCATCGATTGTCCTACACCAACAATCAATGTTCAACCACAACTTGAACCTTCCAAATCACAGGCTCAAATACCACACCTAAACAATCCCTAGCATCTACAAATCAAACATGACCCCGGCTACAAGCATTATCACCAGATATCAATGACCCTACCCCAAGAGTCACACCCGGGCAATTCTCAATGTAGCCTTGCATGATACATGGCCAAGGACCAACAAACAAGCCAAGCATTCTACATAGTACATAGTACTCGTACAAAAAGCCTCAAAACACAACCCGAGAAAACAAACAAATCTCCCTTTTATTTACCCCAGCAGGACCCTGCAGCATGGGGGCCAGTAAGCCTCCGAAATCCTCAAAGCTCAACCAGCAAGCTTTGCCGGCATCTCACGTTACACATCAGAAAGCGAGAGAGAGAGAGAGAGAGAGAGAGAGAGAGAGACCTTGCTCCCTCCTACTGCGTGACCAGGTAGATAGCAGAGTACACAATCACAACTACAGCGCCACTTACCCATGAACTGGGGGTATGTACCTGGGGCTGACTGGCTGGCCAAAGCAATCGTTTACCAGTGGTCAAGATAATCGTATACTCCTCGGCAGCTGGATGGGGGAACCAACGAACTTGGTGCGAACCGCCCGTTATAATTAGAACACGAGGCTATCGTCGATAGGATTTCGGCATTTACACACACACACACACCCATACACCCATATCCACCTACGCATACACGTATGGATAACAAAAAAAAAACTGTCCACGTAATGCCAGAGACGCGCATACTGTCTCACGTTGATGGGGATCATCGATTGCTCCGCTCTCCGAAGGGGGGACAGACGGACAGACTACAGAGTTTATGGTGATGCCTAAAAAGAACATCCGTTCGGTGGTTTCTCGAACACAGGCGGGAGATCGGAGACGGATGGGCAAGGCAGGCGGGCGGGCAGTGCTGGATCCGAGATGGATAGAGGGAGAGAGAAAATGGAATCCGGTTGTTGGTTAACAATCAAAGGTGGATATGTATGTATGTATGCCCCCATGGGAAAAGGAGGAGATGGATGGAAGGATGCGAAGATAGGAAGAAGTTGCCACTTGAACCACATGGTGATCAATGCAGTCCGTTCACAGCATGGGTCCACTCTTCCCCTCCCTTTCCTTCCATTGTCTCTTCCGGATGACGGTTGATAACCATCTGCATTATTCTCAGATACTGAGTTCTTGACGTATAGGGTAAGTTGCTTGAGTACTCCGTACTCCGTACAGTTGTTAGGCAGTGTCTGAGTTGTGTCATCATCCGTAACGTATCACCATGGGATCTGCAGGGAGCCGAACGGATTCCAGCCACAGCCTGACACCGAGACCAGACATGAAAAATGGAAATTGATTGATCGATCGTTTGTTGCAACGTCTTCCCTTCCTCCCAATGCACCTACTCCGTAACTACACTGTAAGCCATAAGATTCAAGCACACGGCACATGGCCTAGTCCAGAACAACCCACCGAGCATTGCCCGGGGCTCTCTCGGGGGCTCTGGGAAGTCGTCATGAGAAGCACACAGCATCAACAAGAAACGAGCTACGAACATCCTTGAGCCTTTCTACCTATAGGATAACTTAGGGGAGGTTCAATAAACTCCCTCAACAGACTAAGGTTCAAGATCTAGCCCTGGGCGGAGCGGTCCAAAGCCACGGTCAGCCACTCCTCCTTTTTACCCATACTATAGACAGACTTCATCTCTCAATCCAATGTTGGAAAAAGGAAGAAAAAAAAAGAACAAATTCAAAAACAATTTACCGAAGTGAAATGAGAATAGTGTTGGAGCGATCATCACCACCGACAACGTGCCATGTTGCCAGCCACCGAATAATCCGGGATCCACTGCCCTAAAATAATCACTAGTTAGACTAAGTTTACTTCAATTGCTTTACTTTGGCTCTGTGGCTTTGCTGCTTTTGCTTGAGACTCCCGCGGCTCCCGTGTGATTTCATTTGCCCCTCATTCGTTTAGTTACACTTTACAGATGAGAGAGAGATGGAAGATTACCAGGGTGTTGACCTTTAATCTACCAACCTATCGAACCGACAAGACCTTAGCAAAACTTGTTTTTTTCTTCTTCTCCTCCCACTCTTTACAGCCGGATCCGTTCATGGGGACAAAACACAAGGACCAGGATTAGATCAGGGAGTGAGGAGGTGATGAACCCTCGTCGGTCCCTCTCTCGGACATGTCTCGTTCCATGTTTCTTTTCTTTTAGGCTGGGACCGCCAGTCGCTTGCCTTGCTTGATGATCGTTTCTCCCCGACCCCAGAAGCGGCGGCAGCGAAACGATCAATCAATCAATCAGCAAGAGTCCCAGACGAGTGGACCACTTGTTGGAAGCGGGACGCATAGTCAGCCATGTGGCTTTCCGAACTCCAGTCCAGTCGCCGATGGAATACGGTTGCCCATACGATGATGGACTGCTTCGAAAGATCCTCCAGACCCAGTCAGTCGACTGGCCTGTCCTAGGTTGGAAGAAGGAGACGACCGGCACACCAGAGGGGAAAGGAGAGAAGTAGTAAAAATCGGTTAAAGCCTCAAATAACACAGCCCACGCCAAAGGTTAATCCGAGTCGAAGTGGAGGTGAATGAGTGACATGGACCTCGGAGGTGGAACAGACTGCGTGCGGTGTGAGCAAAAGGCCTGCCAGAGACGCGAGAGCGAGTCTGAAACCCAAGACTTGAGAAAGTCTCCAATGCAGCGCATGACTCCGGGCCGGACTAAGCGTAGAGAGAGAGAAAGGATTGAGGGACATCTATCGCCAAACACTTTACCGCTTCCGGTAGGGTTATTGGGCTTTACCGCCAGACCAAGTGTCCCTCTGGTTGTGTTGACGAGCGAGCCGACTATCCGTACAAGGTAACCATCCAAAGCCCCTCCCCGAACTAGCCTGAGATAACTTACAGATCCCATGGCAAGACTGGCTGGCTTGGTGATAAAGTGGGCTTGCCCCTCCTCAGTTTGACAAGATGGTGGTGGATGGGCTGGCGCATTATTTGCTCAATGGAACACACTAGGCTGGTCCACCACAACGGTCAGACATCTTACCTACAAATAGACAGTCACTATTGGTCGTTAGTCGCTCAGAGGAAGTGGAGCATGATCATAGAGTCCATGCTATCGAACCCCGTTGTATGCCGATGGAGAATAATTTCTCGCAAATGAGGGTCCGAGAGTCTGGGTGATGGGCGCTGACGGGGAGGAAATGGGGGTGAGGGAGGGGGGCAAAATTCAGGCGAAAAAGGAAATTAAACCTCAGCTAATTCCCCCCTCGTTCTGCGGTGTACGGGAGTACAGGAGCTTAGTAGAACGCAAAAATTTCGCTGCGGCAAACGGGGAACGAGACGCAGCAGAGTAAGTTCGATTCCCCACTTCGATCTGCCGTGACAATGCAGCCAGGATCTTAAGGAGCAGCAGCAGCAGCAGCTCGCGTTGCTCAACAGCAGCAAAACCAACAAGAAACAACAACAAGAACAATGCAGTGCTAGTGAAGGAGTGGTCTCCTGTTCCAGTTTCCCTGTGACTTTGGTTGCCTGTTTGAGTAATACATTGGTGGGACTCGGGACCGCGGCGACTATCATTGACTGTAGTCGGGTCACGGTGCGTCGGGTCTGGTGCGATTTACGGCCGATCCTTAAATAGTGATCTGTCAATGTGGATGTGTTTTCCACTTGGATGCGTTTCTCTTTTTTTTCTTTGCCCCGTCCCCATTTCGCGGTTGCCCTGCAATGGCAGTCACGTCGCTAGCATCGTGTTCTCTGGATCCGCTGAATCAAAAGATGGGTTCCATTCCCACCCAGTGGTCTAGTCGCGGCTTTGGGACGGCTGATTAGATCCGGCTTGCTGCCAGAGGAACCTGGGAGTGGAGTGAAACAACCAGGCGCCCTCCTATTCCTAGACCACTTTGGGGGGCTTGTTCGCGTAAGCATCTGCGGAGACATTTTCATGGCAAGTGTGACGACGTTGATACATCAGGAAGAGGAGGTGACCGTAGTGCAGTGGTGAAAGTGATGATGATGATGATGATGATGGTGACTGGAGGGGGCGACTAGGCTGGAGCAACCGCCCCTAGTTAAGGCAATGTGCACCGGTTCAAGACTGTTCCTGGGTTAGTTGTATACCAAGTAATCAATTAGTACGGAGTCGGCTCTAACTCAATCCTCAACCGGTCAGGTGGTCTCCCCTTGTCCGCATCAATTTATGCATGCCTGACACAGTCACACACTGAAGAGTGAAATGATGGCCTGACAGCCATTCCACCCCGGCCCCTCCATACATATACTGCACCCATTTTTGGTACCTTAGACGACATCCTTATTTATCGAGGTGAGGCCGAATCCGAATAGATCCTGGCAGCCACTACCTTACCTTACCTTCTGGGGAACCAGGTACTGCACCTGGTAGGGTTCCAGACTCCCCTCCCCCCGGTAGTATGGAACATTCATTGGCTGCACCTTACTGGCCCGATGACATGTAGGACAAAGCTAAGCACTGACCACATTCTGTGTTACCTCGAGTCCTGGGGACCCTGCTTAGCTAGATCTGAACAATGCAATAATGATAACTAGGTACCTAGTAAATAATAGCAAGAATGCTGCAGCCATCATGGCGCCGACCTATGTAGCAATAATGGTCAGGCGTCCAGTGTGAGAACGTACAGGACATATATTACATTCAGGCCACTGTCGATCGCATCTATCCTTGACCATACATTACCCACCTTTGATTATGTGGTTGCATCGTCTGAAGATAAAGGGGGCTCTCCTCTTGGTGAGACAAGGGAGGTGTCTGGTGTTTTCCGGAGGATCGCAGTCAGCCTGCCATCGGGCATAATCCTACTACTTCCCTCCCTCTCCGTGAACATAATTCGCTGAGCGGAAAACACCGAAAACACCTTATTTCGGTCCCCGTACATGCATGCATGCATGGACTATGTATGTATGCCATTTGACTCATGGCAACCTGCAGATAATTGCCTTTCATAGTATGCTTTCCCATCTGTAACTCATGAAGATACCGTTGAACGCGGGTAGTCAATTATTGTTTGTCTTGTCAGGAGGGGGGCTGATGGTACTTTGGTGGCTCTCAACAACATCCAGCTTATAGTGTATATGCTGGTCCATATGACTTGTGCAGAAGTCCGAAGTCCGAGCAGCGGTGCCAGACAGCCCTGGACTCTCCTGGTGTACTGCACCTTATCGCTGGGGGCGTTCTCTCCAGGGCAGACCCACTTGAGTGGTGCATTGGGACCGGACCCCCTACGTAATCAGACAGAGCCAGGCTGTTGATTGAGAGCCAGTGGTGCGTATATGCCGATTTCAGACATCGTGGCGTTGGCCATGGCTTGCGGTCGGCTACTGTTTCTCAGTTCAGGACGAAGAGCTTTGCCTCAGCGCTGGCATAAAACCTTTTCAAGCCGAAGGCAGCAACAACAGGGTTGTAGAAGCCAGTGGGCTGTGTCATTGAGGAGATGGCGAGGGTTGGATTAGCTTCGAGCACTAGTACGGTCGAAATCCATCACGAGAGCAAGCAAAGTAATGGACGGTGCAGCTTGCTGTGGTGTCACGATCGTCCCAACCACAACGCTGCAGTCATTGACCTGAGCTCGAGCTGCAGCCCCATGCAGGAGCCTCTTGTTCTCCTTCGTTTGGCAAGGCAAGGGAGCGGCAGAGAGGCTTGAATGCCGACTGAACCTGACAACCAACACATTGCAGTCTGCGAGGCTCTGGGAATAGCAACCAGTAAGCTGGCCTACCGTGCTGGCATCGTAAATGGTGTATCAGATATACAGCGAAGCCTTCCATGCCACTCAGATGGGGAAGTTTGATGAACGCTGAATGTGTATTTCGCTTGTCCTGCGGAAGGGCGCTCGGGCCTGATACGAAGCCACTAGACTATACGGAGCAGTTAATGACTAGTGCTACTATGGATTATAGTACGTAGCAGCAATAAACAACTGAAAGCGCGAACAACCGAGGCGACGAAGCTAAGACAATTTATCTCACTCTTGTGACTCGTGGTGAGAGGCGTGATTAAAGACGACAAAAGACCCGCCAAACTGCGATCTTCGTCTCCTCCTTAGGTACAGGTCAGTCAGTAAGTAGTTGGTCGTTGGTCGATCCTGCCAAGGTTACTCCATACAGCATTTAGTTCTGTTTCCCGGGCGGCGACCGCTACTTTGCTGGTTTCTGAATCGAGCCGAGTACATGAATCAGGCGTCGGTCGGATTATGGAGAAGCTAGGGCACCGTGCAGATCGATCAATTGTTGGTTGTTTGGGTAATCTCCAATCCCAGTGTTTGTTTCAGGAGTAGAGTCTTGAGACCAGTAGCACAGCAGCATGCCTTCTGATCGAGTTATCCGAGGGTCGATATTTCGGGCGACCATCCCCATATCTCCATAGCTCATCCTTGCCACCCTGATAATGATAACCGCCATTTGATTGAGAGCAGCGTCACAGAGCTCGGATCTCGACAAAGGAAAGGTCAACTGTACAGGAGATCGATAAAGATTGGCATAGCACCCTTCTCCACAGTTAGATTTCGTCTGCGTCTTAACCCAATCATGATGCAGACGGTAGCAGCAACATCCGCATCGATGGCGATATACGGTACCTTCCACCGTCAAGAATGATCCGCCCCCTTGGCTGCTTGAAACCTAAGCACTACCGGTAAGTTGCCCAGTACTATGAGTATTTCCCAGTAAGCGCCAAAAGCATAGACAATCAACGCCAACGCAGGGCTGTAATTGTTGCGCCCGATCTTTAGTCTCCAGACTGCGCTCGGCTGTTTGCGATAGCGGAGTAGCGGGTCTTCTGTCGGTAATGATCAGCATGGTCGATGAAGTACTCTTTGAGTACAGTACAACACGCCCATCTCAAGTAACTTATCATACACTTTTCACGAGATGCATAGAGTATACCACAGGTCTTGCGCTGAGGTGAGCTGACCTGCTGAGCTCCCCTGCTTGTACTCCGTACACCTCTAATATCAAGTACGGAATGCGGAATGCTCGATAGAAAACTGGCTAGAAACGCTATGGTGTACGGTGGTACACAGTACTGGTGTATACGTACGTATACCCCAAAGCAATAGTGACAGCCAAGGGATCCCCTACTGCAGTGGGAGTCCCGAGTTAGTACTGATACATGGCCCCGGGCCTCCAGTCTACCTCAGTCTAGGCTGGATCACGTTGGCAATCTGACTAATTTCCCATCCGTTTTCAGCCAACTCATTAACACGGCGGGAAAGGAGATAAAAAAAAAAGTCAGCTAAGTCAGCTGAAAAAGTCTTAGGAAACCCCGGCCGACTGCCGCGGTGAGGACGGAGATTCGGAGACAGACGAGAGAGAGATCCACTTGCACTAAAATGGCCTCATTTTCTCAACCTCGGCCATTTTTTTCCCTTTCTTCCCTTTTGATCCATTATTACTGTGGGAATTTCCCTTTTTTGCCCCTCTAAGCCCCATCCGAGAGAAAACAAAAGCTGACCCCTGACCTTCTGGAATCTTGTTCGTCTCTTTTTCTTCCCTCTTTGCACCGTCCGTCCCCTGCAGTCGAGTGGGCCCTGCACATGCGTTCCGATGGCCCCTCCCTGTAATCTCCGGCCTCTGATTTGTAGTCAGAGCTAGGCGATGATCTCAATTGTCCGATCACTTGCGTTCAGCCATCAATGATATGATGTAGTCTAGTCTAGATTACAACCGCCCAAGCCGTCGCACGGAGGTTTTTTTTTTTTTTTTTTTTTTCTTTTTACTGGTCTGAATATCATTCTGGGGCCCTTTTCATTCGGCCGTTTGCTTCTTTCTACCTTAGTTTCAGCCCAGGTGAAGTGACTAAACCCCAACAACGCCTCTCTCCCCGGGGAGCTGGGCTGAGGACATGGGCTCGGAACAGGGACAGGTTTCAACCACAGCACACAGCTTGTGCTTCATTCACCCAGCCCTTGTAAGTCAGTTGAAGGTCGATGATGTGGTTTCACCAGGCTGATCACCAGTCACGAAAATGCGGAATGCTCGCTCTTGATTACTAGCGGGAAGGTCTGCTACCCCTTACCCTTTGGCCCGATGCACGCAGGGTTAGGCACTTTTGCTTTTGAAGACCAATTTTCCAGGCAGAGAGGGTCGAAAGCGGAAGACAGAAACGGGGTGACTGGGCAAAAAAAAGAAAAAACAAAAAGAGAGAGAAAAAATTAAAATGTCCCTCAAAAAAAGGCCCAAATCGGCTACCAGCACAAGAAGGAGCCTGCCAGGTGCTGAGAAAGAACCTTCAAGTTCAGCCTTCAAGTTCCTGTACCTGGGCTCTGGACGGGGGTCTTCCCGGGCTCTAAACTGGAAGTGGTAAAGCTCCGTGGAAAATCCGTCCCAGTCCGGTATCAACCCTTGTTCTGGAAATGGTCTCCATCGGCTCATCCTGCCCATGAGGTGTAAGCACTACATTGAAGCCCTCTACAAACGCTATCCGTGGTCATAGAGTAGTACAGTAGGTACTGTACAACTAAGTCAATGGGATAATCCTCCGCCTCCCGCCCCCTTTGTTCAATGTGCATATCAAGTGCAAACTAACTAGACTCTCGCTCATCGGTTGAACATTAGACCCAAACCCATTATTACTACCGGTATGGATTACATAGCGTGGCAGTCATTTGCACGGAGACTTCACTGCGGGGCGTTGCAGCCGCGAAAACTCGCCATAATGGGATGGGCGGCACCCGTACTCAGACAATGACTAACTAATGAACAGCTAAGCTATGATTTAGTTTGAGTGGCAGTCCGTCCGTCTGACTGGTCACAAAGCCCTATAACTGATTCCCTTTACTCTAAATCTCATCATCACCACCACCACATTGCATTTCATTTTCGCAGGGGTGAAGGGGAAGGAGGGGAGAGTGGATTAAGCAATTCCTTTGAAGTTATGCCAGAATGTTGTCATTCTCCTTGATTGCCGAAGTTCCCGCTCTGCTCTCCCTCTAGATAACTTAACGCTTTTTTTTTTGGGCCCCGCCGCCCTTCAAATGAATCCCCTCCTTCAGTACTCCGTAGGGTGACTTACTGTGTCTCTCTCCCTCTCCTGTCATTCTTTCGGTGAAGGTATTTTGAGTCCCCCCCCTCAACCCAATCAAAACAAAATAGTCGGCAGGCCGGGGCCGGATTTACTTGCTTATGTTTCTTCGCTTCTTAATTTTTCTGGCGCGTCTTACTACGTGTAAGTACAACCGCCGATCGAAGCCCACACTCGTACATTTCGGCATGAGATTTGGGGATGGCTTCTGGATGATACATGTGATCTGATCTGCAACTCGACAATGTTGAGTTGCAGTACTTCGAACGGACACGAACCTCATTCATCGATGGACAAGTGGAAGCTATACATATACCGAGATTATGTACTCCGTAAAAAAAGGTTACCGAATTCAAACAGTAGGTGGGCTGGCTCTCTCTTGTCCCTGTTCCTGTGGAGAATGTCATGAAATGATAAGGCACCGCCCCCGATTCTTTGGTTCCTTGGCATCGCATCTTGGTTTTGCGTTATCGGGTTTGCTTGTTTCGATGAGAAACCGGTGACTTGTTCGTATATCGTGTATACTATGTAGTGAAATGTACCAGACGGAAATGAGAGAGAGACAGAAACTCATCCATCCGCTTCTCCCGCCTGGTTCCCCCTAAAATAGCTTGGTTGTGTTTAGGTCCCAACTAGTGGGGGGGGGGGGGAGTGGTGACATCCGGGTTGGAATCTATGCTGAAGTGCGTTATGTAAGATGGTTCTGGAGTTGGTGATAGCGCTGTGATCAACCGCAGTGGGTAAAGTCGTCGACGGAAATGTATACTCGTAGACGTTGATCTGATGATCCAGGCTATCATCTACCGAGATGGCAGATTCGGTTGGACAGGAATAGTTGCAACACCCACATGGCAAACTACGTAAAAGCCTAAAAGTCTCGCCCCTCCCCGGATGGATGGAGTCAATGTGCAGTGCGCGTCCGGTGATGCTGACGACAAGGCCAACAAACGGGACGGAACGGTCGGGGGGGGGGAGGGAAAAGGGTTTTACATTTGGATTTTGTGCACGTCCAGTCAGGTAGTACTTGATCGTGTTGCGGGCTGAACCAAGGCAGTGAGACTGCCGTCGGTAGGTAGGTGTTGCTGCTTGCTTGCCTGCTTGGGGATTGTATGAGCAAGTGCCGAGTACAGTCATTAGTCCAAGGCTCGGTTACGGGTGTTTCTGGATCCAGGCAGTTATTGTAACCCTTGCGTAACGGGCGTTGTGACGCGTTGGAAACGGTGAACTTGTGGGGACTAAAAACGAGACGGCAAGTCAAAAGGGAGGTTACTTGCGAGTGTTGACAAGAAAAGCACGAGAGGGAAGGGGTCAGCAAAGAGGGAGGGGAAAACAAGGAGCATGTGTAAGTTATTGAGAAGTAATCAATGTAATACAGATGGTGGAGTTTAGTGCTGGATGAGAAACCGCCGAAGGTTCGCTCGAGTCTCGCTCGACAGAGACAGAGTTGCAGAGTTGAAAGGGGGCACGGGGTTAGATAACTAGACTAGTACTCCATAGTTACAGAGACGTCGTGACCAAAAAAGATGTTGGCCTGTTGGCCCGCCACAGGGTTTATTAGTGATTGATGATGATGATGCTGATGATCGGGTCGGATCGTGGGTCATTCGCCGCTAAGGTTGCCAACTTGAGGCATCCCTTCTTCAATGGGTGACTAAGACATTGATTGACCTTCAATTCCTGCTCCTCCGGCGTCTGGAGTGGTTGGATGGTCGAACCGTCCTACGCACTGACTCCAAGTCAGACTTGAGTGCTCCGTACAGTAGATAGGTGTTAGCTTGTCGTGGTCCCTGCTAGGCAGACAGTCAATATGAGCCAATGCAGGCCCGAGACTGACCCTCCTCTATCTATCCCTGGTTGTAAGCCGAGATTGCAGCTGAGCTGAGCATCCGTTCGGCATTGCACAGGGGACATGATGGTGATGTTGATGAGGGGAAGGGCGCGAAGTAAGTTAGAAAGGGCATGTCATCAAGAATCGCTGGGGTGCGTAATTATCTACCGTATCCCAGTCTGTACTGGACATTACACGGCAGTACTACCCCATACTAGCTACAGCAGTAGCAGCAGCAACACATTCTGTGACGAGCCAATGCATTTCTTCGGGGTTTGGGCAGTCTCTGCCGATGTAACAGATCGCACGAATGATTCCTACTGTCTGAGCATCCAATCCTCGCTTCCAATACCGGACAAAAGAGGAGTAAAGGAGGAGGAGGCAACGATGCAGGCTACTGATGATCCATTACTCGTAAGTCGCAAGTGTACGGAGTACCCATCAGTGTATGTATGGTAAGGTAATTGCGTACAGGACTCATCTACGAGTGAAGTAATGTGGCTTGCTCAATTTAGCCCCAGACTGACTGCTTGAGTCTCGGGCTTGCCTTTCTCTCTCTCTCCTCTCTCTCTCTCTCCCCCAAGTTTAGTTTGGTTTAGTTTCGGCATGTCCCAGACCCACCGCGCAGACTTTCTCTCCGTATCTGCTCCGTGGTAGGCCCCAGTTTCTGGTTCCTTCTTTAACTTCCATCCCGGCCATCATCTTTGCTTTGCTGCTGCTGTTGCTGCTTGCTGGTGGCTTGGCTTGGGATTCCCTGGCTAGAGTCTTTCCCCGATTCCAGTTTCCTATCCAATTATGATCATCTGTCCGTGCCCCGGTCTCCCATTCCCTCGTCTGTTTCTGTTTTTTCTTTTGTATTATCTGGTTTAATTTATTTTCTCTTGGTTTTTCCCCATTTCTTAGATGGTGGACGGACTGCACTGCACCTCCATGACTGACCTACCAGTAAGCTACAATTAAGTTAGCTATACTGCACTCAATCATTCACTTTATTACCGACCGGCCAATGGGTCTGATCATCCCCACTATCAACATTGAGTACTTTCCCCCACTTAGATAGTACGGAGCACGCTACACGCTACCACCATCATCATCCATCGTCACCCTCATTCTACGAGTACCCATGGGTCCGCAGTTCCAAAGTCTGTTTTGCTTTTTTTTCCCTTGTGAATTATTATTATTTTCTCTTTGCCTCCGAGTCAAGACAGGTGGGTGAAGTGGATCTCGACATCGTGTGGCATGGGCTCATCTGAATCCAGTCACCACCAGGCTGGATCCCTTCCTTCGTTCCTTTCTTCCTTCCCTAGCCGTGGTCCATCCTACGACAGTAGACTACGACTACCTCCAGTGCTCCACTCATCCCATGTCTTGCCCGGGCCTGTTACTAGTCTGTTTTCGTTAGTGTCAACGTCGTGTCATCCCAGCGCGTGTCTATCCTTTTTTCACATTTTTCGCATTTTACACTTTACACTTAGAGTAGTCTAGTCTACCACTTTACACCAGTCGTGGTTAGTAACCCGAATGGATCGTGGAACTGGGGCGGATGGTAGATCAAGAAATGTGCCCATGTAAGTACTTACATACTCACATAGGCTACGTTCCACAGCGCCATGTATCACCCATGCCTAATTCGGGTCTATTAAATTAATTAATTATTATTATCATTATTATCATCCGTCACTTTCTTCTGCCTATCGCCTTATACTTCTTGGGATTGTTGCCGAACAATCATCAATCTAAGGGACTGGAACCGGCCTAACCTTAGTACGCACGCACGCACGCACTTGCTTCCCGTACCTTGCCTCAACGCCTTGTGACCCTCACGCCCCCTGTGTCATCTGTGGACGATAAGTCTCGAACCCCAGTCTATCACTTCGGAGATCCTTCTTACTGCTTCCTGCAGTCATCCATGGGTCCTATCCCGTATTTGATACTCATATAAGCGGAGATCCTCTTCTCCCAAGCCCCCCCCCATCCTGCCTTCCCTATATTTATGAATGTTCATGCCCACTGTCCACCACCTCTTGAACTTCAATCTCAACCTCACCTTCACCATCTCTCTTGAAAACCACCTCCTCTCAGGACCATACCTATCCTTTTTCCGCTCTACCACCCACACTTATCCTCAATGGCCAATTGCTGGCAACCTCAAGCCTCATTCGTCGACCCAGCGGGGGCCTCCAACAACCAACCATGCATGCGCTCTTCGACCTTTCGCGACATGATCCATGCCTTCCCTAGGCCAAAGCAGACCGGACGGGTGACCAAGCCCCGGAGTGCCGGCAACAGTCCTGCTTCTGCTGGCAGACGGAGGACGACGACCATGCCTCACAGTTCGACCATGTACCCTGGCTACCAAGCCCCATTCAACCCTGCCGCTTTGGCATCCGCCTTCTCCCGGAGTAGTCGCAACCGTCCAATGAGCTGGCATCCAGTCATGGACTCGTCCACCTTCGCGACGGACCCGTACTTCGCGAACTCGACCACCGTGGACAGCCTGGCCGCCGTGGGCATGTGCCCTCAGCCACTCCCCACCGCCCCCGCTGTCCTCGAAGGCAACGACATGCTGTCATCGTACGCCAATGGGCTTCCTTTCTTCGCTGGCGAGCAAGATCAATTGCCGCTTCACCAGTCCGCCTTTGTCCAAGAGGATCCCGTCTCCTGGGAGACAAGTAACACGACGATGCCCGCCATGACCGAGCCCATGTCAGATTGCTGGTCATTCGACATGGCTTCTATGCACAGCAGCATGCCTTCCGCCTACGTCGCTGACTCCACCTATGACGAGAGTGTGCCATCCTCGGGATGCCTGACAGGCCCGGCCACCCCTCAGTTTCTTCCCATCCAGCGTCCAGATGACGATCTGACCGCCAAGCCCAACTCGGAAGACGAACTCGTTGGCATGGGCCTGTATAGCAGCCCCGAAGCGTTGAGCGAGACTTCGCTCCTGGGTCTGTCTGGCAAGGGCTTGAAGTTGGAAGAGACATTCACTCCCTCGGCCAACGATGCGGAGGACAAAGACGAGGAGGACGAGGAGGACGATGAAGTCGATGATGCCGCCCCTCAAGAGCAGGAGGAGGCCGCCTTCCCCAGCTGCGCGGCACCTCACCGTCAGCCCCAACACTCCGTTAGTAAGCAGCCCGTCAAGCCCGCTGCGAACATGATGCACAAATCATTCTTCTTCGAGGAGGATGGCTTCGAGCAACATGCGATGTTCGGATCTCAGCCGCTTATCAACATGGCCAGCCAGCCCTGCGTCAGCTATGGCTATGGCTGGATTTGATCTTCAGAAAGCATTCATCCGCCTGTACCATTTTTTATGAATCCTGTATTCGCGAGTCAGCATTGCATAGCGTGGAGTTGTGTTTTTTTTTTTTTTTTTTTTTTTTTTTATTGTTTGGTTTCGGAAGGCGTTTTACATGTACCAAATACCCTGGGATGGCTGATTGGAACTATTCCATTCTTTTATGATGACTATATGTATTAGAGAATCCGTGGGTGTTGTAACACCAATGAATGAAGACATCCTCAGGGATGACAAATATGATGAACGATGATGAACAATGAGTGTCCAGTAATTGTTTTAGTAGATATAGACACACAAGGAGGGGAAGGGAGGTAGGTTAGTGGTAGCTGGTCAGTTGGCAGTTGGCAGTTGGGAATGCGTGGGAAGAACCTGAACCTCGCCGGGCCCGGCCCATCGGCAGGAAAAACCTTTCCGCCGTCAAATAAAATCACCGCGGCCGTTGATATGTAGACGGACCAGGTCTAGATTCAAGGTCAATTATCACGCAGAAAAGGGGAGAAAAGGCTTCTTCTTTCTGTGTACTGTACCACGAGCCGAGTGAAAGCCTCTCCCTTCGACTTGATCTGCCCCCTCATCATGGCCAAGGTCATCTTCACCCCGTGGAAGGAGCAATCCCAATTACTGGTGGTGCGGAATCAATTCTACCCTCCGCCGCTATACGATGGCCCCGACATGCGATCCAGGGCCTGCGCCACAGTAAGTGAGAATGCCATTCCATTCCATCACTTCCCGTCCCTTAAAGCTCCCGCGCCCGGAATCCCAGACACCCGACCTACATGTTCTTTCTTTTCTATACAGGACGATATTTGAGTATAAAAGAGAAGTATAAGCTAACTCCACTTTCCAGGTCAGCGCATGGAAGCTGCGAGGCAACCTCCCCCATCCCGTCGAGGCGACCGCCTTGTTAACGGATGCGATCCTCCATGATGACGCGCAGAAGAACTCCATCTTCTCCATTCGCGCGACCTATGCGGCTGCTTTCTGTCGGTATGTTTCTACTGGTTCTTTTGGCGCTTTACTGGGGGTGATTCTGCCAAGTGCGGAGGAGCTTGAGCTTGTTCTGTTCAATCCTTCCTACAGCGAATCGCTTTTTTTTTCTTTTATATATTTATCTTTCCTGTACCGTTATTCTTGTGGCTGACCACTTCGCACAGCTTCGTAACGGGCCTCGTCGACTCCAAGCTCGGCGGTGTCCGCCGGACCATGTTCCAGCGTGCCCTGGACCTGGGTCTCCCCGCCTCGTTCGTGGAGCTGCGGCACGAGGCCACGCACCGCGAGCTCCCGTCGCTGACGGTGCTGCGCAACGCGTCGCAGCGGTCCCTGGAATGGCTGTGGGATTATTACTGGGCTAAGACTGAGGCGTCGGTTCCTGGCTTGGGGGTCGTAGGGGCTTCTGTGAGTGGGATGCAAGAGAAGCGTGTTGCGGGAGGGGAAGAGGTCGAGCAAGATGAAGAGGAAGACGAAGAAGCCGATCTCGAACCGCTCAAGTCGGCGCTTCGGGATACTCTGGAGCAGATTGTGGCCGAGGGGAAGCAGCAGCAACCCCCGCGGAAGAAACGCAAGGTCCAGCAGCATTTGAAAGCCGTTGCCGGCGAGGTGGTGTCGACGTGTCGGTCGTCGGGGCGCGGGGTGGCTGCTTTGTCGAGTGTGCTGGTGCAGGATTCGTTGTTGGTTCCGGGAGGCCGGAGGTGAGTTTTCTATTTCTCTGTTCGATTCTGCTCGCGAAGGGAGGGTGGGAGTGCTGATCAAGGTCTACAGAATGGGAGAGGCAATGGCTGCTCAATTCGACATGTGGGATCCATTATTGCAGATGATTGCAGATGCGCAGCCTACGTTTTTGTCGAGTCTGACGGAGGAGCTGGCCAATGCGCTGGCGTTCACGGCGCGGCCGGACCAGGCGAAGACGGATGTCCGCTGTGAAGGTGCCTATTTGTGGCTGGACCACATCTTGGGGTCGGCGCAGTGGGAGTCGCGGAGACGGCTGGTCTCGTATGCGTATATGCTGGCCGTCTGTGAGCAGGTTGCGAACCATTGGACGGATTCGCTGAAGGAGAGGCTGGCGGAGAGACAGGACGAGGGGGCGCCGTCGGTTGATGGCGAGGGTTCAGGGCGCACGACGAGGTCTGCTGCGACGACGCTGCACAACGCGGATGTTTTACACGCGTTGAAGAGCATAGGGATTAAGTATAAGGGTCTATATTAAGATCTCGGACCTTTGGGGAGAGGTGTATAGATGGAGAGATATCTTGTTTCACACCAAGCTTGTGACAGGCTTGCTATGAAAAGTGTTACCTGGTAATAAATTAAATGTCAACAATCTTCACCTGCCATTGATGGTTGTATAGTATACCGACTCAGCCACACGTGGCTGAAGCGGGCCGCAGCTGGAACCGGGTCGACCTATGAGGTAATCTCCAATCACCGCTTACGGTTGTATCTCATGATGATGGATTAACAATCTCTCCCCCGCATTGCAATCAGCTGCTCCTAATCAACCGGTGCTGTCAACCCCTCATGTCCCTCAACTTCACGAGAACGATCCTCTCAGCTGCCAGATTCCGTCCTACGAGGTTCATCCACCCCGCATCCGCCAGAGCCATGCATATCCAATCGATTCCGATGTGTAAGTTTACCGGAATCATGTTTACACTTCTCTGCTGTGTGTCATGGTTGCTAATTCTCGTCGACAGGGACCGGGAAGGGCAACAACTATGCCTACCTTGTCACCGACGAGCCCACCAAGCAGTCGGTCATCATCGACCCGGCCAACCCGCCCGAGTACGTTTACCGTCGATAGATGTACTGTACAGTGCATCGCTGACCGTGGTGCTAGGGTGACCCCCGAACTAGAATCGCAGATCCAAGCCGGCAAGATCGACCTCACGGCCATCGTCAACACTCACCAGTGAGTTTCGAGTTCCAGCTTGTGCTCCCCATGTTCCACAACAATGCTAACGCAGCCCAACAGCCACTGGGACCACGCCGGCGGCAACAACGAGCTGGTCAGTTTGCACTCTCCAACCATCAAGGACCAATTAACCTTGTCTCCTGGGATTATCGGCTGCGAACTAAACTAACACTTCTCAAGCTCAAAACCTTCGGCAAGCTGCCCGTCATCGGCGGCAAGGACTGCCAGTCCGTGACGCAGACGCCCGCGCACGGCGAGACCTTCCGGATCGGCGAGCGCATCGCCGTCACGGCCCTGCACACGCCCTGCCACACGCAGGACAGCATTTGCTATTTCATGCAGGATGGGGACCAGAAGGTGGTGTTTACGGGGGACACGTTGTTTATTGGGGGTGGGTTTCCTTCCCCCTTGATTCTGAAGTGTTGGTGGTGTGTGAGGGGGGCTGTTCGAGCTAATGAAGTATGGTGCTGCAGGATGTGGTCGGTTCTTCGAGGGTACGGCTCCGGAGATGCACAAGGCGTTGAATGAGACGCTGGCGGCTTTGCCGGATGATACGAAGGTTTATGTACGTTTTCTTTACCTTTTTCTGAGAGAGAAAGAGAGCGAGAGTCAAAATGGGTGGAGGTGGGTCTTTGTATGAGTAAGGCTGACTGGTCTCAGCCGGGACACGAATATACCAAGGCCAACGTCAAGTTCTGTCTGGCGGTGTCGCAGTCCGAGCCTATCAAGAGGCTGGAGGCGTTTGCGGAGGCGAATCAGGAGACGCAGGGGAAGTTTACGATTGGGGATGAGAAGGTAGGTCTTTTTTTCGGCTGAAAGGTGGAAGGAAGGCTGACTTGGATGTTTGTTCTAGCTTCACAATGTGTTCATGCGCGTCAATGTAAGTCACCTGCCTTGGATGGGTGGAGATGGGGACTGACGTTTAGTAGGACCCGGAGATCCAGCAGAAGACTGGAAAGACGGACCCGGTTGAGGTGATGGCGGCGTTGCGAGAGATGAAGAATGCCATGTAGGGTGTGTCTGTATATTCTAGGTTGAATGGTAATGGGTGGGCGATGTACAACGGGGACGGATGTAGTATGATTGACAGGTGGAGAAGTGGAAGCATTGGGCTGTTCAATACTAGTAATTATGCTTAAGACTGTTGTCACTGGCTATTTGAGCCCCATTCATATCTCAATCGACATTCTATAGTCCCAGCCAAGTAACTCAGCTCCCACAGCATATAACCATACCCCGATCCAGCCAACCCCTCTGCGCTTCAATCGCCGAAGTGATCCTCGCCGAAAGTGACTTCGCCGACGTTGACCTTGCAGTGGAAATCCCGCTGCCATGTTTACAAACATTAGCACTGTACTCAATCATCGTGACGTCAGACATCAGACACCACATGCAGGAAGAGTATAGAGAAGCTACCACCGCATCAAGTAGCTTTCTTTACCCAAGCACTGTTTCTCATACCTCCACACCTTACTCCCAGGCAAGTCCATCGACCATAGCAGCAGCAGCAGCAGCAGCAGCAGCAGCAGCAGCAGCACAATGTCCCACCACCACGACGACCACCACCCCGCCTCCCTCCCCGGCGACCCCCTCAGCACCAAAAGCCGCGTGCTGGAGACCGGCGCCAGCATGGTGCAGGACTTCGCGCCGGTCAAGAACATCTGCGCGCACCTGAACGCCTTCCACGTGTACGCCTCGGACAAGACGCGCTGCGTAGAGGCGAACCACTACTGCTCGCATATCACGGAGGGTGAGCGCCCCCAGCACTTCCCCATCCCATGACCTCCCCCCCCAAAACTATCCCCAAAACTAACCCCAACTACCGAACAAAGATATAAGACAATGCCTCCTCTACGACAGCCCGTCCCCCACCGCCCGCCTCCTGGGGGTCGAGTACATGATCACGCCCAAACTCTACAACACCCTGCCCGCGGAGGAACGGCGCCTCTGGCACACGCACGAGTTCGAGGTCAAATCGGGGATGCTGGTCATGCCGGCGCCGGCGGGGGTGCCCCAGGCGATCTGGGAGACGGCCGAGACGGCCGAGATGCAGGACATCGTTCCGCTGTACGGCAAGACGTATCATTTCTGGCAGGTGGATCGCGGGGATGCCGTGCCGATGGGGGCGCCGGAGCTGATGGCGAGTTTTACGTCGGAGGAGCGCGTCAAAGTGGCGAGGGGGGAGGGGGGCATGGAGGAGTTGTGTCGGGGGAGGGATGAGAGGTTTGGGGTCGATTGGAGGCGGAAGAGGGAGGTGAGGGAGGGGTTGCGCGGGGTGGAGGGGGGGTTGCATCCTGGTGAGTTTTTCCTTCTTTCCTTCGGGGTAGGGGTGAAGTTCGGTACGCTGGCTAATTGTGTGTGGGTTGAGTAGATGCGGATGCGATGTGGGAGGAGTGACAGGATTCCTACGGGGTTTATGATGAGTTGAGAATGTGCAAAAATGATGATTGTGATGGAAAGCTTCAATTTTTCTAACAAAATTTACGATACGATATGATTGTCTCCCGTCGTTACCACCCAACCGCCCATTCCCATAGTTAAATGGGGTCCTGGTCGGGCTATCGTTCAGGGAAATCCCCCACCCCGTAGGGTGAGAAACTGTACAATTCATCTTGCTTCACTGTCCACACTCACGCGCTCTGGTGTTGAATTTCGGCAGCGGTGAGCTCTAGCAATTTTAGAAGCGGAACTACTTGATCGGTAGCTGTTGCAGGTCAATGCAGCATGAAGCATTGAACCAGCAAAGCCAAGCCGAGTCGAGTCGAGGACTCATTGTCGAATCTTGCATAGCAGCAGAAAGGAAAGAAAAGAAAAACTCTGGTGGGAGAGAACGCTACCCGCCCTTTATATACCCGATGAGTCACGTGCGCCGTCCCCCAATCCCCGTCCTCCCCTCCGCTCCGGCGCGGGACCGACCCTCCTCCGTCCGCAGTATCTCAGGTACACACATAGAGTAACCAGGCGAGAGCATCAACCACACAATCTAAGGCAGCAGCGAGCAGCGGCCAACGCAGCAGCGCAATGGACCGCCTCCTCCGCACGACCCTCAAGCGCAGCACGCCCGCGCACGTCTTCCGCCTCACGCTCAACGGGCTGGGCCTGTTCTGCGCCTGCACCCTGGTCTGGGAGCACCTGGTGACCGTGCAGCTGAGCGAGGGCCCCTCGATGTACCCGACCTTCCACCCGCGCGGCGACTACCTGCTGATCTCGCGCGTGCACCGCCACGGCCGCGGCGTCGCCGTCGGCGACGTCGTGCGCTTCTACCACCCCTCCTTCCTGGGGGTCAACGGCGCCAAGCGCGTGATCGGGCTGCCGGGGGATCTGGTCTGTCGGGATCTGCCGTTTAGTACGGAGGCTGGGGGGACGGGGGAGATGATTCGGGTGAGTTTTTGTTCCGCCGTGGGGGGGGGGATCGGGGATCAGAGGTTTTGGGGGTTTGGGGTCAGGGCTTCCTGCTAACGCTTCGTCCCCCGTGTAGGTACCCGAAGGACATGTCTATCTCGCCGGGGATAACCTCCCCTGGTCGAGAGACTCGCGGAATTACGGACCCATCCCCATGGGGTTGATTAATGGCAAGATCGTCGCGAGGGTGTGGCCCCCTTCGCGGATGATGTGGGTGGAAAATACGTTGAAGCCGGCGCAGTTGGATTGAATGGAGGATTGAAGTGAACGTAACGCACTGCACAGCGTTCCTACAAGCATGGCTGGAGTTTGGAGTTGGGAAGGAAATTTGTGCATATTCATACATAAAAGCTCTCTTGTACAATACTACAACACCCGAAACAAAACCAAAAAAATCACCGCATGTTGGCCGGGTTGCGGCGCTTGTAAGGAAGACGCTCGGCAGGCGCCCGGCGGAGCTCGATCTCGGCGTCGGCATACCCAATCGACTTCATCACCTCATACATCGAGTCGTCCCACTGGGTGCGGAACAGGTGCGCGCCGATGGGCTTCAGCTGGTACCGGGACTCCAGGGCGCGGGCCAGCAGGTTCTCGCGCGCCGTCTCCTTGGCCTTGACGGCCGCGAAATCCAGGGCCTTCGACTCCTTCTGCTCGAAGATGATCATCGCCAGCCGGTGGTAGGGGCTGCCCTTCTGGGCCACCGGGGGCGCCCACGGGAAGACCACCTGCGACTCGGTCGACAGCTGCGACAGATCCACCTTGGTGTTCACCGCGGAGATCGGCACGTTGACGGCCAGGTAGTGCATCTTGAAATCGAACCCGTCCGTCTCGACGTTGGGCACGTCGGGGTCGACGACGGCGATGGTCACCAGCTTCTCGCCGGCCTCGAACATCTGCACGTTCAGCTTGGGCGCCTCCGTGCTCAGCTTCGAGTCGACAAACTCGCCCGGCTGGATCTGCCGGCGGCCAAAGTAGAGCTTCGTGTCCAGGGTGGGTTCGCAGTGCGGGATGACATCCGGGATCACCTTCATCTGTGTGATTCTTTGCACGAGAATCTTGCGGCGGTACTCTCGCCATTTGCGGTCGGCCAGGAATCGGTAGATGGGCTTGCTCATGTCACCTGCAACAAACAACAGCGGCCCGATTAGCCTAGCGGAACAACAACAACGACAACCTAAACCGAAAATTCTCACCTAGTCCATCCTCAAACTTCTTCTTCACCAGCGGGTCGTTGATATCCGCCTGAATCTTCAGGTGCTCCAGGTGCAGCTCCATGGCCCGCAGCTTGGACTTCTTCACCTGCTCTCCGCCGGCTTGCTCGGTCGACAAACCCTCAAGCCTCGAGATCTTCTCCCGCATCGATGTGATGTCGCGTAGCTTCTCCTCGCGGTCCGCCACCAGGATCTTCCGGGCCTCCTGGAAACATTGGTAGGGCAGCTGCTCGAAGGGGATGTTGAGAGAGTCCTGGAGGGCCACGCGACGACGGCGGGATCCAATCGGGGCGACACCCTGGCGCAATAGCTTCCGCTCCAGTCGGGGGTTGGAGACTGTAGCCGGATCGGGGGCCTTGTAGAAGGGTTGCGACCCGGTCTCGGTCTGAGCCTCTTCGCGCGCCAGAGCGGTCGATTGGAAGGCGCGGGTGGACTGCAGCTGAAGACCTGGAAGACCCTTGGTGTAGGTCTTCTGCAGGCATTGGAGCAAGGGCTTCGAAGCCCGCTCACAATGGGCCATCTTGAGGGATAGGATGAGGTGAAATTGAGGGAATCAGAAAGGGGAGAGGGAAGGAAAAGGAGGAGCTAATGGTGGTGGTGGTTGTAGTGGTGGTGGTAGTGGTGATAGATTTCCCCAGGTCAAGCCGGCACTGCACCTGGCAAAGTCGAGAGGTTTCCTTTCCTGGCCGGACGGAACTTTTTTCGTCGGGTTTGGCCAAGCCTCAAGGCGGTTTAGTGCCAGAACCACCCGAACTTTTGCTGTTGCTTCTCCCCCTCTACCCTCCGCCCGCGACCAACCCTGCGATCGTCTGTCCTCCATTCAGGTTGATCCTCGAAAGGATTCGGAATTCTTGCTCTGTGTCATCTACAATGGCTGGAAGTGACGCTCTTCGCACCCTTCTGCGGCTCACTCGCAGCTCGGGGGGTCTGCTCTCCGGGGCTGAGACAACCACGGTAGGACGGCCTAATTTCTTCCTTGGTCTGATTCGATGTCATTGAAGATCCAACGAAAAACGTATAGTTCATAACGCATACTGACAACTTTCTTTCTCGCTGATAGCAACGATGCCTGACCAAGTCTCTGTCCCGCTCCATGGCCACCGAGGCCACCGAGGCCACCGCCCCCATTGACCACCTGACGCGAGAGGTCCCCAAGCCCGTATGGAACCCCGAGCCCGTCAAGGCCACCACCTACTCGTTCCCTTCGATGGAACCCCTGCGCTTCGTCGAATATCCCCGCAACCACCTGTCCATGGCCCTCCGCAAAGACATCCTGCACCGCGCCGTCATCTACGAGGGTGACGCGACCCGACAAGGTACCGCCAGCACCAAGTGGAGGAAAGACGTGTACGGCAGCAACAAGAAGCTGTTCGCCCAGAAGGGTACCGGTAGAGCGCGTG